TAGGTTTAGGTCGCAGATTATATGTCTGAGTCTTTATTCTTTATATGTAATTTAAAAGCAAGCTTTTCTTTGTAAAACTTCAATTGAATTTCAATAAAGTTAAAGGCATGGCCTCACCGTTAATATTTAAAAAAAAAAAAAAAAAAGGTTTTCAAGAATATCATAAAATATCAAATAAGTATTTATATCCTTGCAAAATTTTAGTTTAATTACATTACATTACTTATTAGCTTATTAATTTAAATAATGCTCTAAAAGAATTAATAAAACTTGATTTTTAAATGCAAATTTTGCACTATCTATAGATTATTTATAGATCCAATTTATTTAATATCTTGAGTCATTTGGCATTAGTATGAACTTCATTTATACTGTATATAATATACAAGTAGCAATGAGCAATTACTTATTAGTAAGATTATTAATAGCAATTATTTAAGAGAATCGATAAAAAATATTAAATAATCTCATATTTGCATCAGTGAGAAGAAATTGATTTAAAATACATATTTCTAAATTATGATGCAATAATTATATATTTAATAAATATATAATTTTGATTTAATGAATTTTTTTGATATAAATTATATTACAGTTATTTTATATAATATAAATATTAAAAGGTTATTAAAGTTTTATCTCTTTCAAATGTTGGTAGAAATATTAAAATTACAGCAATTTATATAATTTTATGTAATTTTGTATAAGATTAGATAAATTAAAATTCATGTAACTGTAATTTTAAACCCATAATATTTAGTTTTAGAGATTAAACTTTTGGTGATTTAGGAGTTACAATTCGAATTGTATATTCAAATCAATGATGTAATAATACTGGTTGAAACTTTTTTAAATCTGGCACTTTATAATTTGCATGTAATGTAAAATTATAATTCATGTAATACAACTCTAAATGCCAAATATTATCTGGTTCAATTTCTAATGATTTATTCAAATCTGCAAATAAATCTATGTAATTACATTAATGTATAAAATGTATAAGCCTTTAAAAGATTTTTTATATTTACTATTATGTAATATGTTATTCTATAAATATTTAATACATATTATTTAGTATATATGCTAATAATTCATTTAAATTTGCAAAATAATTCTAGGATTTTAATTCTATACATTAACATATTCAACTATTTCATTGTTATAATATGTATCTTCCTTAGTTTCATCTATATCTTTATTTTTATGTCTATTTTTATCTAGACTATCTTCATTGTTATTGACACTATTGCTCCTATTACTATTATCATTATCATCATTCTCACTATTATTATCATTATTATTATTGTTATTGTTGTTATTGCTACTATTGCTGTTATCATTATTATTATTACTTCTATTACTATCTAATGTTAAGTCAATAACTCTTTTATTATTACTTGTGCTGTTTGCATCATCATATATGTAGTTACTACACTTATTTTGAGCCTCCAGATTCTTCACCCAATCATAGTCAAACATTATATCTTCTTCGGATCTGTTTTGAGTAGTAAAGATACTGCAACACTTGAAAGACTATTTGATATAGGCAGGATCAACTTGGTCCTATGTGATTTTTACCCATCTGGCTATTACATTATAAGCAGGTCATTAAATATGACCTGTAGGTATTAATTTCTTAATTTGCTTACTCATCCAGTCAAGGTAGCACTTGTGATACTTAAATAATAAATAATAATTGTAAAATTTTTTTTCAGTTAAAAAAAAAAAATTTAAAAAAGAAAAATCTATTAAAATATATAGTATATATTCGTATATATATATACTAGATGGGTTAAAAGTAGCTGGGCAGTGATCTTTTTTTATTATCTGATAGAAAATAATTTTTAATTTATTTTTATATTTATATAAATACATAATTTTTATTGAATTAATTATTAAGCATTAAAATAATAATTATAGTAATTAAAAAGAGGTCACTGTCTAGCTACTTTTAACCTATCTAGTATATATTTATTTATCTTATCTTTAAAAGACTTATTAATGTATACATCCAATGGTTGTAATTTCTTTATGAGGCCATCTGGAATAACTGTAATATCAGTATTTTTTTCACTAAACTGGTTTTTAACTGGATCTGTAATATGACCACAAAATGAATCCAGAACCAATAATGAATAGAGATTAATAGACAAAGAAGCATAATGACTCCAAATTTTTTTAATCCAAAAAATCATCTCATCAGAATTCATATATCCTTCCTTATTGGTTTGTACAATAATGTCTTGTAGAAATATTTATCATGATATGTTTACTAGTTTGAAGATTATCATAGAAGGCAATTTGGTTTCATCAGCTAAACAACTCAAAACGACTGTAAAATTGGATTTTTCATATTCAGTTGTATGAATTCTGACAGTGTGAGCATCAGTTTCTTCAATTGTAACATTATTAGGCACATCAAATGTCAGAAGTGTCTCATTCATATTATTTATAAGTAGGAATGACAAAAAAAAAACAAAAAAAACTGATTTAAACATTTTTTTTTACTGATTTAAAACAGGTGATAATTAAACTTTGAATACATATTTAAATCTGAATTCAAATATAGCTAATATTATAATTATAATCTGGTTTTAATTATGTAATAAAAAACTTTTATACGTATAGTTTAATCAGTTTCATTGAAACTTAGACAAAAGTGAAAGCACTAAATTTATGAACCTTGTAATTAATCCTAAATAGTTCAAATAAAACTTTAAATAATTTAAGGATATGCAAGATAATGTGTCAAACCCATTACATATCCTAGCCAAAACTCTAAATTTTATAGAGTCATGTTATTTGATATAGCAAATAGTGTCTAGTATTATTTCTTATATATATATGTATTAGATATAACAGATAAAGCAATACAATATCAAACAACCTAACCTATTATCAAAATTTTAGGGTACTACCTATATCACTATAGCCTATATGTTGCTATTCTTACTTATAGGTGAAAGAGGATAATCAAAATGCATGCAATGAAATAATATATAACTTAAAAATTCATCTTTTTTGGATTTTAATTCTTCTAATAATCTTTGTGCAACAGTAGTACAGTGCCTATTGCCAGAGATATTAAAATTAGTAATTTTTGTATAAGATTTGATAAATTAAATTTTATGTAATTGTAATTTTGAACACATAATATAGATTCTGAGATCAAATTTTTAGTAATTTAGGAGTTACAATTTGAATCATATGTTTAAATCAAATAATGCAATAATAGTGACTGAAACTTTTGTAAATCTGGTGCTTCATGTATAATATGTGAAAATTACATGAAATTTGATTTTCTGAAACTTACATAAAATTACATGTAATATAAAATTGCAATTTATATAACACAACCCTACCTATTGCTTAATCTATTGTGGTGCATAAAACATTTGAGCCATTTGTCACTCTATTTGCATTCATTGATCTTGGAGTAAGTTAAAGCAAGACATAGAACAAGTTGGTTTGCTTTAGTTCTAATCATATACCAAGATACTACCTTTTGTTTTAAACATAATAACTTAATCCAAGATACAAAATTCATTTTTAAAAGTGGATATTTTGGATATACACCAATATTTAGATATCTAACATAAGGTGGAACATTTTTTAACTCTTTTTTTTGATCTATTCATGCAATTGTTTTGGACTTATGCCAAACTGTTCTGCAGTATTACATTTACTAGTTGCAGAGTTCCTTTTTAGGTATGTAATGATTGCTAACTTCTCATGATATTTTAGCTCATTTTTGTTTGATTGTTTTTGCATCCTTTAGGATTGTTTTGCTATATTTCATTTTATATTCAACTTTATTTATGTGTTAATTAATATATAGTATCTTTATATAAATTTTAACCAAAATAAATCTTTGCTTATTATCTTTTGGTCTAAAACTTGTTTTATTTTAATATGATAGAAATGTAAGTCATAGTAATTTTTAAAATGATTTTGCACATGTTAGTTATATTAATAAGTTAATTATGCTAGTATTTATTAGCTTGCTTCTATATGTACTTAATAAGAAAAAAGCAACTTTTTTCATAGATCATTTATACCAAAACTACAAAAAAACATTTAATTATTTCTCAACATTTTACTAAGTAAACCTTACTTGACTCTTTAAGTAAAGTACTCAGCACACTTTTCTCCTCCTAGGCGGCTGTGTTTTAAGTTCCAGAAACACTCAACTGCTAAGAAAAGTTTGAAAAAACAAAATTTTAGTTTTTGCTCATTTATACAGAATTTATTAATTAAACCTATCTTCTTACCTATTTAAAAGTTGTCCAGCTCAGTAAGTCGAAAATTTTAATATATAATTTATTCAAAACAGACTAAAACTCATAAAGATATAAGCAAAAAGCAAAAACAAAAACTTGCTCTTTACAGATTTTTTCATTGGCATTTTAGGAAAATTTATATGGTTGCCCCAGAAATTTCATTTTTTTGGTACCTATTAGAATTTCCTAAACATCCAATCAGCTTATCTGAAGCCCACACACTTTTCCAAACCTTTCTAATTAGTCTGGAAACCTCTAAATTAAACAAATTTTTTTATAAAACATATATAAAGACCTATTTTTAGAACATAATGCCGACCTTGACAACAACTACACCTGATATCATTGATCTTGATTATTTTTACCAAAAGTGTCCTAAAAGCTTTGGTATTGGTATCTTTAAAGATGCAGCAAATACATCATGCCCAATTCCTACAAATAAACAACCAAATAACTGTTCAACTACAGAACTTAGAGGAGAAACTAAAAGTTATCATTACTTTAAAGCACCCGAATCTAGTTCTATTATTATATGTTTCTGTGACAAATTTTATACTTACTTTATCTTAACTACTAATCAAACCTACAAACAACCCAAAATCATTACTAGTAACAAAAAATCTAAAGTTAAAAAATCTTTAGCAAATAACATTGCAAATTCTACTGAATTTATTCCACCATCTCCTATAGCATCACTCTTACCTATTACACACAACTATCAATGTGCTAAATGCAACTTGCCCATTGCCTGCAAAGAAATGAATAATCAACATTACTTGGCAGCAGATGCAATTCTATACAATAACAAACCTCATCATAAAACATGTGCAAATATTCAACAATCCTCTTAACAATCAAGCTCTTCTTTTACATTTATTCAAAAACTCCAATAAATAATTAGTTCCTATAACCTACTAGCATCTGAACTCACTTTTACAACATTACCTGTAAGTCATAGTAGCAACCCAAATGCTATAGATTTGGACAACAATACAATTATTAATAATAACCAACAACTACTACAGTTTAATAACAATCACAACAACAACAACAACCAGATAAATAACAACCAGACAAATAACAACAACAACCAAACAAACAACAACAACAACAGGAAACACAACCTAATATTAACAACAACCAACAAAAAACCAAAACCAACCCAACATTCAACTGGATTGCCAACTTCCCTATTACTAAAGAAATGAAAGATAAATCTCAACTTCAAATAGACTTTGCTAGAAAAATTTTTAATTTTCTTAAACAGTATCTATATGATTTTAGATCTGGAACTGAAATTAAACCAAAAATTGGTGATCGACCAGCCCTTAAAGCTAGCTTCTACCATATTATCCATAAAATGGCAGAAGAAAGACTATAAGTTTTAGTTGAGTTTATTCAAAAAAATAACCCAAAGCTATAACTATTTCTTTCGATGTACTTAAAAAAACTCTTAAAATACTGATTTTTACATTTACAACTGTATTTTTTACAAAACTTAACTACCCAAAAATCTTTGCATCATCTGCAACTATTTCTCCTTATACAAGTCCAAATTGATTATAATTTTGTATTAATTTTGCCTACCTTTACCTCTATCTCATAAATAACTATCAAGCTATTAATTATATTAAATTTGCTGAAGATATTCAAATTAGGCCTAAAAGGTTTAGAATTTTATCAGAAGTAATAGACTTCGATAAAGAAAAATAATATCTTACAATTAGTTTAGACAACAAATTCAATATATATCTTAAATTCAATATTCCTAAAACACTTTTTCTACAAAAACTTAATATCCCATCTCTCAAAAACTCACTTGACCACTTTAATCAGTAGTTCAAACAATTCTTTTTATTACATAATCACCAATTCACTAAACCTATAGATGAAACTAAGGTTTTTAATTTACTTAAATATCAATTTTGACAAAAATTCATCTTTTATCTAAAAGAAATTATGCCTACCAAACTAAACTTTACAAAATCTAATAACTTACAAGAATGTTGTAATGAAGCAATTAAACACACTAATCATCACATTCTTATTTGTACAGATGGAGGCTATATCTATTTAGATGAAGCTGAATGTACAAAAAAAGAAAAAGAAGTCAAAACTAACAACTTTGAAGAACAACCTCAATATTATGAACATTCTTCTCAACTTCTTAATAGCATCTTTCAAAAATTCTACATCGAT